CTCTGCCTTTCTTTACTTGTCTAAGGTCAAATGACCATGTATCTATGGCGCACAGTTTGCAAAATTCTCTAATGTTATTTATTCATTGATTCATTCATCCATTGACTCGAAAAACAGTTAAGTGTCTATTGTGTACTAGCTACTGTTCTATGATTTGGAGACACAAAAATGGATATGGCCAATCTGGCAGCTGTCCTCATGGAGTATTCAGCCTTTGGGTGAGGCAGACAATAAATAAGTAAACACATCTAGATATGATATAATTTTAGGTAGTAACAGAGAGTATAAAAAACTACAGTGTTGTTAGTTAAAATTAGGTCAAGTGGATCCACCCAATGTCCTGATCTCTTCTTCCTAGAAATGATATCAAGTGACACCAAAAATAAAATATTTTTCTTTTGGTCAGTTGCTAAAACACATGCCATTTCTTTCAAGACCTGAATATTGTACATGTTCCTTTAATAACCTCAATGATCATTCTTTTCTATCCAAATAACAGGGCAAGTGATCTCATAAAAGCTTTTATTTTGATTTTCTGGGTTTGTGACTATATTGGTAAAAAGTATGACAAAGAAAAACAAGTTAACTGACATTTAGTTAACTATTTGCTTAATCATTATTGAAAAGCAGATCCAGATGACCTAGGAAAATCTAGGGATACTATATCTTTATCTGGGCTTTGTGCCACTTTTCCACTCTGGATTGGGGAAATAGCATGTACATGTTTCAACCTGTAAATAAAGGTCAGTCCCAGAAAATGCACAACTTTGTCAATTATATAATCTTATCATCGACTAGGAAGGAGAGAAGAGAGGGTTAAACAGCATAATCTCTGATTAGATGGCATCACTTAGCTTTAATGTGAGCTTTTGCTTTATAGGAGCATTATCTTGTAATAATGTTAGCTTAAAAACTGTAATATTCATAATGAGTGAGATGCGCACCATCTGGGGGATGGTCATGCTGGAAACTCAGACTTGTGGGGGGAAGGAGTAAAGGGCATTTATTGAAATCTTAAAATCTGTACCCCCATAATATGCCGAAATAAAAAAAAAAAGGAAAAAAAAGCTGTAATATTTACTAAACTTCAAAATTTTAGGAAGAGGTTTGCCCTAGACATTGTACTGTAAATGACCCTTTAAGATTTAACTTACTATCATTTTATTAAAATATAATATTACAGAACATGTTGAAACAAGTATTTAAATCATAGAATCCTTTGAAATTAAAATTCACCACTTGGTTTAGTAGAAAAAACATGGACTATGAAGTCAGGCCCCAAACAAGCCTTACTCCAAGCATCGTTTGTTCAACTTAGTAGAGATTTCACGAGTGCTTATTTCACCGTTTGTTCACCCCTAGCTAAGCATGGTTTATGTTTATTTGCTTAAACAAGATTGGGCTTTTCTTTTAAAGTTGGTAATAATTGAGATTTAATCTTGGGTTTGGAATACATCTACTTTTCTTCTAATGCAGAAAATCTCACAGCAGTTAAATATTAAATGTCACAGCTAGAAGTAAAATGAACAATTATTTATCATCTCTATTTCTGTAGAGTATCAATGTGGGCTGATTTAAATTCAGCAACTTGCTCAATGCACAGGCTGATGTTTGATACTTTTTAATGAGGTTGTACAATCCATCCAGTGTCCTTTCCTTGATGACCTAAGATGGGATAAATTCCTCTCAGGTCTCATTTATAAGAAAATTGTTCCTTTGATACATTTAGAATCCAGTAATCTGCTTGAGAGCAATTCTATCATTGTCACCTGTCAGAGCAGAACCAAAACAAATCCTTAATCCTAAACATTGCTTTCAGTAGTTGTATGTATAGCAAAACTTCTCATGTCTATTCTTTTGATTGGTTCAGGCTGTGTCTCTGTTTCTCCACCAGGAAATAGGCAAGAAATAATTTTAGCTGGTGTAGCTACTTGGCTCAGTCAGTCATGGTCAGAAGCAGGTCTGCAGTGGGTAGAATTGATTAGTGCTAGTTCCTTGAAGCAGAAAAAGTTCTCCCCACTTTTCCACCTATTTTTATAAATGACTTCCTAAGCTGAGTTTGTCTAAAAATTTCTGAGAAATGGGGGTACAGACAAGGAATCACATTGCTTATTAACATATCACATGCATGAGTTTAAAAAAATATATGGTACAGAGGCAATTACAGTAGTACCTGAATGATCTGTTGGATGTGTGTACATGCATACACTCACATATATATGTATGATTAAGTGGTTTAAATTATGTCTATATATTATATCTATATTTAATCATTATGTATGCATATATTTGAGTATATATATGATTAAATTGTCTATGTATGATTTAAGTTGTGTAAGTTGTTTATATGCTCACTACTCATTACCTTACTTGTTTATATATTCACTCATAAATAGAAGGAGTAGTGTAATATTAATGGTAAGGGTTAAACAAGGTAAACCTAGGCCCTGCCATTACAAAAGTGACTTAAAGAGCCTACTAGGTGCCAGTCTTCTCCCAAGCAGCTTATATCGAAAGAGTACATGCCTTTTCCTGGTGCATGTTCCTGAAGATGAAATTCATCTTCATGCATTTCTTTAAAGAGTTTAAAGGAAGAGGCTACCAGGGTTTTCTTGAAAATGGGATGTGTAAATAATTTAGGCGATTGTCAGTGATGAGACCACATAGAGCTAGTGAAACAGACTACAGCACAGGACCTGCTTTCTCTCCTGGAGCTTGGTTTTTAGTGACTGGGAAGGAGGGAGGGACCTCTAACTGTGTGGTTATTTACCTCCTGATGCTAAGCGTCTCAACCTCTATACAATGTACGCTGTTTTTATTGGCATTAGAAGAATAAACTTCAGTACCTATGAATTATTCTCTCTCATTTACTTACAAGACAAAATCTTCAAGTTCCTGGAGATTGAGATTGCTAACGTCTTTTAATGGAGCACTTTGAAGATGTTTTGGTAAATGGAAACGATCACTTCCACAATCAAGCTAGTAGAGGAATGCCATCAGGAATGCCTCAACTATAAAATGATGCTGTGTTGTCTATAGTTTGAGTTATTAAATTATGTCTCCTGAAAGTCGAAGTTATTACAATAACAGAATTGTTGAGATTATACTTTACAAAAACAATTTCTTAGAGTTACCTTTGTTTTGGATTCTTTTTTTTTTTTTTCTGTTGAGCCATGAGGAAGTTGGAATACTTTTGATTAAATAAGAGACTACATGGTATAGTGTGTTGAAGCCAGAAAGAAGTAATTTACTCTACAACTTGCTAAGTGGTGGGCTATGGGCACTCTCAGCCTAACTCTTTGAATATGTAATGTATGTTATATATAAATTGTATGAATTAATATGATAATATGTAAATTATGTATGTACATAGTATATAACAGTATGTACATAGCATATAACAGTATATATTATATATGCATTGTATAATATGTGACATAAAAATAGTTGTTGACTTAAACAATAGCAATGAGTGGAGTTATCAAATCCAAAACCACTCTAGAACAGGCAGTTACATTTAAATTGCAGGAAAACTATGGAAACATTTTTAGTATAAATATCTCTCATGTAATATTTGGAATATACTTAAAATAATTTATTGCTTATCTGAAATTCAAATTTAATTTAATGTCCTCTATTTTAACTGGTAGCCTTAGTATGAAAGTCATTTAAGAGAACTCTCATAGGAACTCATTTTAGCTTTATTTCTTTCTCCTTGGATATTAGTATATATTAGAATAATAGTGTTATGTTTATAGTTAACAGTTTTTGTAGGCAAATATCCTGGGTTCAAATCTTCACCCAAATATCCTGGGTTCAAATCTTCACCCTTATCAGCCAGGTAAACTTAGATAATGTATTTGACCTCTCATTGTTCCCATTTTCTTATATTTAAAATGAGAATGATAATATAACTGACTTCATATAGTTGTAGTATAAATTAAATATAAGTTAATATATGTAAAATGTTTAGAATCTGCCTTTTACACGAGCTCTTATTAGTGTACCTAATACCCTCTCCAATTTTTAGAACAGATAATACACACAATAAATGTTAAATGGAGAGAGAGAGAGAGACAGAGAGAGAGAGAGAGGGAGGACATGCAGGGGAGGGAGAAAGAGAAAAGATTCACCTAGAGTATCAGAAAGTACTAGAGAAAATAGATTCTCATTCAATTATGTGAATAACCACCCTCTCTCACAAGCATGTAAAGTTGGTTGTAGAAATGATAGGCAAATTTTGTTTTGTTTTGTTTTGGTTTTTATTCCACAGAGAACTAGCATCAAAGTTGTTCTAAGAAAAAAAAAAAAAAAAAAAAAAACTCCCAAGATCTTATTCACATAAATACATTTGGAAAAGAATTCATCTCTCTGCTTATGTGCAAATAAAAAGATGTGCAATGATGACACATTTCAGAAATAAATTTGAAGAGAATTGTTTCATACGCTTTCATGACGGGACCTTAGGGAAGGAGAATCTACTCAGTAATTAAATCACTTGTTGCCCTCATGCATTGGTAGATCTATGAAGATGTCACTTCAGGGAATTTAATGACTACTCTCCCAGGGGGCCACTTCTCTTTGGGGAATCTGAAGCTTTCCTTAAAGAGGTCATTTGCTCCATAGATTCTGAGAGTGATTGCACCAGTGACAGGCTTTCTTGTTATTTTAAGACATGTGGCACACCTTTCATTTATTCACATATAGAAGTCAAGTTGAATTTGTTTGATGGATGTAGTTATATTTTAAATGTTTCAGAATAATGATTTCAGAGACATCTTTGAAAAAAAAGTAAAAATAATGGAATGGAAACTAGTGCTATTTTTATGGTCTTGAATGCAGCCATCAGACCTACGTATTATTAACATTGTCTAGAGGACAAAACAAGGGACCTGCCTGGCCAGTAAGGGCACCTATTTAGCAAATGCTGCAAGTCTCTCTTACCAGAGAGTGTGAGACTGTGGATCAGACTGTCAAAATTACCTTGTCTGTCATTTTAGGATGGAGCATAGAAGTGAATAACAAGAAGATATGACATCAAATAAGGATTGGTGAACCAAGAACGGACATAAAGGGACAGTATCCAGAGCAGGTACCTGAGGGAAAGGCATATTTTCCATCCTGAAGTTGGGGGGGGGTGGTAGGGAAACATCTTCAGTTTGGTTTTGTCAGCAGCCAATATGAGGCTAGATGCATTGTCAGGCTAGACAGGCTAGGTGCATTGTCAGAAATAGATTTTTTTCCCCACTTCTCTTGTCTCATATTCATTTTCCTGGGTAGGGAAATACTTGATAGGAGTTGCATTGTGGGTGGGTTGGAACAACAGGCCATGGAACCAAGTAGACTGGGAATCAATACAGACTCTGAAATATAGCACCTCAGAAAGTTTACTTAACCAATTTCTACCTTGTTTCCTTCATTTGTAAGGAAAAAAAAAGGAAAAAAAGTGATTACAACACTGTTTCCTAAGTGTTTGATGCCAAATATAACACAAAATAAACTCAAATAATGCAAGTTGCTATGACTGTCAGAGGCATTATTTAAATTCCTACCACTTTTCATAGCATCCTTCTCAACCTATATATATAGTTGGTATTAAACAAATGTTTATACAGTTTTTTCTACAATGAATCCTTGTCTACATGTCTTGGAACTCACAATTTATATAAAATGTACCCTTCACAACATTGCATAAAGTTCATCAGAACAGTGAAATGCACATTACTGGATTTTCATTAGTATAAATCTTCATAATTCAAAATGTCAATGGGAATGTAAAAGCAAGTAAATACTGAAAGGACTATGAAAGGAATAGGTGAAAAATGGTAAAATTCTCAGTAACTGAAAACTTGTTCAAACAGGAAGATTATTTTAATCCACCATAATCAGAAAGACTTGTGTTTTCCATTTATCCAAATGGATATGTCCACATATACAGTAGATCCTCCCCATTCAGATGGTGCCCACTTTGTAAAGCAACTGGATTACATAAAAGAGGAAATCTGTGACCAAGGAACAGTGAAAAGGACATGGGTCTGTGAGAAGCTTAAAAATTTTAGAAAGAAGCTTGCAGTTAATCTGTTACAAACCAATTTTCTCCCAGCATCACATGTTAAACCATGGCTTCACACCACTTCCACTGTCACCTCCACATTTAAGACACCTCCCCTGGGCTAACTGCGATAAGTAGTCAGGTTGTTGATAGTACCTTGCAAACTCTGGGAAAATATTTGTGTAATGAAGATAATAATTCATCAACATTCTGAACTGCATTGATCACAGCAAACAACAAAGATGAGAAATCCATCTTAATGGCCAGAAAGAGATAGTGGTAGATTACTTTTAAATATGGCAGAAAATGCTGTGTAGATTTTTGCTCTTTGAACAGGAATTTAAATATAGAGACATTGTCATCTATAGAAGACTTTGCCAGTGAGGGGAAGAGGAAATATATATGTGGCACAAAATGATAGTGAATTAGTTCTAACTTAGATTGTTAGAATTTAAATTGGTAAATAACTTTGTATACAACTGTCCAAAATCTATTCTAATAATATTAAATAAGTTAGTGATTAGGACTGAAGTTGAATACAAATCGTATATATTTGAGTGTTTTGATTCTCCTAAAATTATACTGTAAATCTGAGAATTTACAGAAGATTCTTAGCCTAAATTTTATAGATCATGAGTTGATTATTAAATTTAAAAACATATATTTGCTAATTAGACAAGTCTATATACAACTTCTTATAATTCCTTTAGAGTACAAGAAGGTCCTTAATTTCTATTAACTTTAGAGAACAACAAGAACAACTGTATTCTAACATTTCTCTTTTTTAGGCAGTGAAAACAATAAACTTACTTTGCTTTTCTTTCTGTCAAGGACAAAATATGAAAAGACAATACATTTATATCAGAGAATTGATGGCATTTATAACATTAGCCACTTTTAGATTGCCTTCATTATAATTTTATCCTCAATTATCCTATATTGGATTGTGCTTAAAAATTTAAGCAAAAGTCTCATTATTTTGGAGACAGGCAGAACATGAATCCTTTATCAATAATGAAAAATATGATGTCTGAAAATTTTCTTCCATTCAGAATGAACTGCAATATTTTTTTCTACCATAAACAATACACATTTTAAAAAAACATTCTTTTAGTTTGGAAATAGCTATTTCCTTAAAAATATACAATATTTTGCTGTATTTTTTATTTTTACTTAAATTCTTTGGCTCTCCCATTTCTTATTATAAAAACTACAAACAGGAGCGAGAGCCCTGGGAATCCATGGAGAGGAGGTGGGAGTGAAGTGAAGACAAAAGTGGGATGAGCTGCTCAGCAGGACCAGAAGTAATTAGGGAAGTGGCCCCCACGTGGGAAAGGGACAGAGGAGAAAATCAGGCTGTACCCTTCTCCTGAGGATACTGCACCCATAGAGGCATAATGCCCCTCCGCTGCAGCAGGCCTCCGAACTGACCCAGAGACCTGTCTGGAGGCTGCGTAGGTGCGTTCCTCTGGAGAGAAGGGACAGCTGGCTTCTAAACCCTGGGCATTGCGGCTGGTGCCATTGTAACATCCCAACCCTCTCGAAGGCTACTTTTGCCCAAAGGTCATATCTGTCACTGAAGACTACCCCTTTCCCCTGATAGGCAGAGAGGGAGTGGGAAATCCCAGAGCTCCAGTGCAACCCGTGGGCAGGTGACATGCACCCTTGCTGCCACTGCCTCTGGGGGCTCTGGGCAGAGCAGGTGAGGATGGGGTCGGCACCCACCGCTGTGGCCTGGCCTATCCTGCTCAACTGACTTCCTGTGGGACATGGCTGTTGTCCTTGGTGCCCACTGCCCACAGCCCCAGCATCTGGACAGCTGCTGCTACCACTGCTGCCTAAAAGGCCCCAAGCAAGATGAAAACCAAGTCAGCCACAGCCTTTGGAACTGGGTGTTCTACACCCCATGGACCTGCACCGTCCTACCTAGGTGGCCTGGGTGTCACACTCTGTGAGCACCCTGACCAACCTGTGTGCCCAGCCCTGTTGCTGCTCTGACTCACACATGTGAGTGCTGCACCCCATAGACCTGCTTCATCCCATGTAGGCCCAATCCCCCACAGGTCCACTCTGTCTAGGGGTACTGCTTCACCTTGGGCATGAGCTATGATCTGTGGCCAGCTCTGAACTGGAGGCTGCTCCTCCCTGTGCCATGTGGGCCTGTAGGGGGCTGCTATGGCCTGTGCAGCACCCTGAGAAGACCTTATACTGTGCATGAGCCTGGAACCTCAGCTGCCCAGGCCTTCATGCTTGTGCACTGTGCCCAGCAACCTCTTCCACCTCATGCGCATGCCCTGTAGTTCCAGCCAGTTACACCTCATGTACACACCTGGCACCAGGGCCAGGTCCTGCTACCACAGGACAATAGGGGAGATGCAGCAAAACAGCAGCACTAAAGGCTCAGAGAGCATCTGTCCCTCTCTTGCCTGGTCCTCTTGCTTCTGTAGTAGAACCCAAACACGACATCCAGGGGACCAATCTCTATATTCACCCAGCCTCGGCATATGAGAACAGGTGTACCATATCTACTATCTGTTTTGGGTTGAGAGAATAGCCCCACATGAGAAGACACCATGATAAAAACTCCAGAAACATGAAAAAATAGGCTGTCTTGACATCCCCAAAGGGTTACAATAATTCCCCAGGCATGAACTCCATCCAAAAATAATTTGTTGAAATGACAAATGTGGAATTCAGTTTATGGATGGCAAGTAAGATGGAATTGAGGAGATGGAAGAAAATATCTCAGAGAATCCACAAAAATAATTTGTGACATGAACAAAAAATTCACTAAAGAGATAACATTAGCAAAGAGATAGCAGAACTTAAAGAAATAAGAGAGTCATTTAAAGAATTTCAAAATACATCAGAAAGCTTTAACAAAAGACAAGATCAAGCAGAAGAAAGAATTTCAGAGGTTGAAGACAAAGATTTTTATGTAACCCAGTCAGTAAAAATTGCAGAAAAAAGAACAAAGAATAATGAACATTCACTGGGAGAAATATGGGGTTATGCAAAGTGAACTAATTTAAGAATTATAATTATTTAGGAGAGAGAAAAGAAAAGCACTAAGCATGGAAAACCTATTCAAGAGTAAAATTTCCCTGGTATTTCTAGAGGTTTAGATATCTAGATGCAAAATGGTCATTGAATATCTGGAAAATGCATAGCAAATAGGACATCACTAAGACACATCATCATCAGTCTGACCAAAATCAAAGTGAGGGAGAAAATTCTACAAGCTGAAAGGTGAAAGCCATAAGTTACTTAAAAAGGAAAAGCCATCAGACCAACAGCAGACCTCTCAGCAGAGACTCAAAAGACCCTGGAGTCCCCTGTTTAGACTTCTTAAACAGAATAACTGCCAGTCAAGAATTTTGTACCCTGCAAAACTAAGTTTCATAAATTAAGGAGATAGAAAGTCTATTCCAGAAAGGCAAACACTAAAGGAATATATCACCCCTGCACCTGCCTTACAGGAAATGCTTAAAAGTGTACTATACATGGAAAAGACCAATCAATACCCACCAATGTAAAAACATTGGTTAAAGCTCACAACTCATAACAGTAACAAAATAGTAAAAATAAACCAACTAGATATTATTCAACATGTTGGACAGCAGTATATCAAAGATCAATACTAACATTGAATGTAAATGCTATTAAAGCTCCTTTTATTTATTTTTATTTTTATTTTTTTTTTTGAGACAGAATCTCACTTTGTTGCCCAGGCTAGAGTGAGTGCCGTGGCGTCAGCCTAGCTCACAGCAACCTCAAACTCCTGGGCTCAAGTAATTCTTCTGCCTCAGCCTCCCAAGTAGCTGGGACTACAGGCATGCGCCACCATGCCCGGCTAATGTATATATATATATATTAGTTGGCCAAATTAATTTCTTTGTATTTATAGTAGAGATGGGGTCTCGCTCTTGCTCAGGCTGATTTCAAACTCCTGACTTCGAGCAATCCGCCCTTCTCAGCCTCCCAGAGTGCTAGGATTACAGGCGTGAGCCACCGTGCCCAGCCAACCTCCTTTTATAATA